CATCTAGTTGTAAATGCAGTAGTGACGTTAGTGTTTATGCCGTAGAGCGTCTGTGGTCCACACACTACATATAGTTTCTTCTGGTCTCAAGTACAAATATGAGGTTGAAACATTTCAACTTGCACGAATACTAATATTTGCGTCTTTGCATTGACTTTGCATGTAGTCACGCCGCACCCAAAAAGGTCATGGAGCGTTTGGTGTAAACGCACCGTAACAAGTCAACAGAGTGTTGAATCGGTATCAGACCTACTGTCTCTTTGTCTTTTTATAACGTCTCCTGCAAACACTGCTGTGTGAAGGCAAGCTGTCGGTGTGATTATCCCCATTTGACCTAGTCCTCCCTCCGCAGCACTACATGCATGCATTGTGTGTTTTTATGCCTGTCTGCTCACTGGTTGTTGACATTTGGCTGTGCTGTAGAGCAGAACACTTTGGGTAATTCACTTATAATCCAGTGCTGTGGAAGAGAACACTATAACGGCCAAATCCCTTTAGCACACAGGACTAATTGCATTATCTGCAGTACAAGAGTAATTGCACAGACCAGCTGATGCTCTCTGCACATCTCTCTCTCCCTCTGTCCCTCCGTCCGTCTCTCATTCACACACACAGGTAAGATAACTGCATTAAGCAGTCTCTCCCGCAGGTGAGAAATGTAAGTTGAGGCTCTGATGTTTGAATACTGATTCCTGATCGAGTGTCGTGCTGAACACAAACCTGAAACTGATTCTGATTCACGTTCAATAAGTGATCGTGATGCGAGGTCTAACAAACTGGCTTTTAACTGGAGCACAAAGTTACATCGAGTGACTACAGGTGACACAAGATGTTGCACCTCATTGTGTTTTGGTCATTCAAGCGACTCTTCTTCCTTTGGGCGTCTTCCAGTCTGTTTTTTTTGTTGTGATTCTGTTTCAGCTTTTGGCCGCAGGCCGCTGTGTATTTTTCCCAGCATCCTTTGCGTTCCCCACCGCAGCAGCCTAAACAAACTACCCACGTTCAAACGTTTTCGCTGCAACGCCTGATTTGTTGTGAATGCAACCTGACGTCTGGCCCCATCTCAGCTGCCTTCCCTGTTGCACATTGTCAGACAGACGGATAGTTTCAGACTGTTCCCAGTAGTATTGTAACGCAGCAGAGAACCAGGTCGTTGTTTCAGTTCAAAGGTTTCTCTTTGGATAGTTGTGAAAGCAGCTGCCTCGTGGGACTCACTCAATTAACGGTCTCATTCTCTGTTTATCCAGCTGATCGTGTAATAAAATCCTCGGCGCATTTATTAAATTACCTGGTGATACGTTTACTGATGGACAGTTATGATGTCGAGCAATCTGTGAAACTAAATCTCTTTTTGCTTTCTTCATTCATAGTGCTCGCTCGTGCTGCCAGTTTGAGAAAGTTAGGCTGCTGAATGGTATTATTGTATTCTTTTAAATATTATTGGTAATATAGGGATGAGGAAAAAGTGAAGGTGCCGTATACCATTTTATTTTACATTTATTTTTATTGATTATAATCAGGCCATGTCGGGGGGGCCTCAAAATCAAGAAGTGCAAGTCTCTTGGTTACCTATGGTCTGAGTTGGGTGTTGCTGCCGCTGCTCCTTTAAATCTTTAAAGAGGTCTAAAGATACAGAAACCCAACACAGGCTGTACGCTGCTGGATAATTACTTCCATAAACTTTCACCACAGATGTTGAGAACAATTGCAGAGCTGGAGTGAGGAAGAGATCTTGCCGGCCCCGCCTTGGACCACAAAATCTGATTTCTCTTATTGTGTCTTTTGGGGGTTTTGGAGCCTGAACTCATGCAGACATGTACCTTTAATGCGGTCTCTTCCTGAGTCTGTGGAGGGTTCAAAAGATGTGTGTGTGTGTGTGTTGCTGGCAGCTTGAGATTACTATTTATCTTATTTTAAACAGCATTCATGTTGTTGCAACTTTTCCCTCCTGTGGTGAGAATCACCGTCTCCTCTCTCCTCCAGAGGGGATGTTCGGTCGGGACCGATGTTCGGTCGGGACCGATGTTCGGTCATTCGGTCGGGACCGATGTTCGGTCGGGACTGATGTTCGGTGCTCCTTTTCGTGCCGGTCCACCGCAGACACAACACCTCTGTGCTCTGTCCTGCACACCCTCACCACCTCTTCTACAGTCCATGTCTTGATTCTCTCTCCCTCTCGCTGTGTTAATCTAGAGGGAAACATGGAAATATAAATCTTCTGACTCCTCCTTTATGAGGCCAGAATAGGGAGTTCAAAACCAGCTGACTGAGTTGGCAGTAACAGTGTGGGACCAAAACATATTACGAGTGAGTTAGTTATCCAGTACAGAACAAAAAAATGAACCGCTAACTTAATAGAAGTCAGTGGGGACATCTTGTCCTCTATTTTTTAGGGATCTGTGACAAGAAAGTATTGATGCCAAACACCCGATCGCATATTTTTTACCAATAAATATCACATTTATTTTTCGCTTGGGGCTGCATGGGGCTTTAAACTTCCCCGAACAAAGAGTTGCACATGTAAGACTTTATTTACTTCTATTTTTTTATGAGTGCAATCACTTTTCCCATGTGCAAAAGTGATTGCATAACGATGTTGACTTTGGACACTGTGCTACTACTAAAGCTTTTATTAAGTCTTGGCCTCGGTGTACAAACAACAAGTGCTTACAAACGTCTCCGTATTTAAGGGAACAAGCATATTTCATATTCACCGTGTAATCAGATCCTCATGGCTTTGTGGAGCTTCAACCTGTCACCGTCATTCGCAACAAAGATGGCAGAGCTTCTACTTTCATTTGCATTTATCATCACGAAAACTCCCTGCCAGGCCTGGGTGGGCTCAAAAGCCCTGGTTA